ATCAATTAAAATTGGCGTAATATCAAAAATGTAATAGATTAACTTGATGTTAAATTATATTAAACAATATCATATATGTTTTTTTTTTTAGGAATGTATGTGATATACGTTTTACTACAAAATCAATTTTAAGATATTAATTATTAGCTTTTTTATCTTATTTCTTTTATTATATATTATTACTTAAATCATTTCCTTTTCTTTTCTCTCCGCGAAACTAAGGTTTATTTGTTTAATTAACTTACCTATCTTTAAAATAAATTCTTTAAAATTATATATATATAACATTCTTCAAACAAATATTTTTGTTTCGATTTTTTTCAATGCTTTTTATATTTGGAAAAAGATCTTGATATATTATCTCACGATGTAACTAAACGAAATGTATTGAAGCGAATTTCGCTAGCAAAATTATGAATCTAAGCATTTCGTTTTTTATTTAGTTCATACGAAACTAGTTTGACCAATGGCGCAAAAAAATCGACAGAATGTAAATATTATGTTAATTTCTTGCAGAATCCAGCAAAAAAAAAAAAGAAAAAAGAAAAATCCAAAACTTTTACCATGACAGCCATTACGCGGAATTTTGACGGAATATTCCATGTGAAATATTTCGACCAGTTACATGGAGAAAAACGAAGGTATAACGTGTGTCGCGCGCTATGTTCGCCGGAAATAAACCGCACGGATCACGTATCCGACGATGGTTGGAATGTATTTTCCGTAACTTCCTCGCGTTCCAAAACCTTTATGGAAAATTGCATTGTGATAGAGCGCATATAAAACATTTGATATAAATACTATTTTGCTTTATTTTTTATTTCTGACAAGGATTTTAATTACTAAACCTTAGAAAAGTATCGAAGTCTACGTAAATAAAATATAAATATAAATTAAAGACAAGTTAATTCAATTAAATATATATTTGATTCTCTCTTATTAAATTATGTTTTTAATTATCGTGTTATATAAAGTCTTCTTATAATAATTTAATAAATAATTATCTAAATAAAGGATCTCTCTCCCTCACTCTCTTTCTCTTTCTCTCTCTCTCTTTCTAACAATATAAATAAAATTCAATAAAATATATGTTAATTAATAGTTAAATTACTATGTTGATTAAATATAAATAAAGATAAATATGCGCTTTTTCTCGTAATTTCTAAAACTGTTATTAATATAATATAATCCTCTACTATTACAGAATTATTATACATTATTATATTTTACTCCAACTGATATAATCGGGAGATTATACATGATTTTGATATCATGATTATCATGATTTCGACAGCATTGCCCTCGTAATTTATTGTTAAACTTATTACAACACTCACTATCTATTATTAATACGATATGCTCTCATTTCTCGAAATGAATTAAATCATGCATCTGCCATCGTGACTATAATGAACATGTAGTAATGTAATAAAAGCTAAGGATAAAGCGTATTTTCAACTATAACCAGAAGTGTAGGTATATATATATGTATGTGCGTGTCTGTTTCATTTTATAGAGATTCTTTTTATATAATTAAAATAACAATTAAATTAAAATTAAAATTAAAATGCGTTATAATTATGCTTAAAAGGGAAGGTTGAGAGATACTTTACGTTGGTAAATTACATTAGACAGTTTAAAATAAAATAAAAAAATATAACTATATATATGTCTTTTTCGCGAAAAAGCACTCAATGTATTAAGACCCCAAGGTGTCACACAGTGCAATTAATTCTGGCTCTTTTTGCCAATCCACGTTAACTCCTCGCGACATATTACATTTCCCTAGTTAGACCCGAGCTTTGAATAAAGAATCTCCTCGACGTAGTAGATTTTTCTTTGTCAGTCGCTCGATACAATTGAAAATTCAAGCGTTTCATCTGCTGGTGAAATGAAATTTGATAATTCACGCGAATAATTATTCCACGGACGCAAATGTAACCCATTACGTACATCGACGAGACGCCAATCGGATTAATGATTCTGCGGCGAAAAATATACGAGACAAAATGGAAAAAATATTTTTTTATGCGCAGAAAAAGGAAATATACTTGTTATACGTAACGGGAGCTAAGCTCGTTCTCCCCTGGCAGTCATTAGTACAATAAAGCTGTGCATGAAACCACACGGAAAAAGTTAATGTCGCGGAACGCAGCGTACCATTAATTCCAAAGCGACCAACTTTGCGATAGAGTATCCTACTTCTGCATTGCCAATGTATTCTTCCTCCTGCCTGCTCAGTCCTTCGTTTCGCGAAATATAATTATATTTGATTAAAACTATCCTCTATTAAACAAAGTTATTAAAGAATGATTAAATGTACAAAGATATCCTTGTCCCATTGTGATCTGATCCTATTCAAAAACAGTTATTACTTTCTATGTTAGAAATATAGAGAGAAAATAATTTTTTCTTATTTACATATTGTTTATAATTTTTCATTTTTTCATAAATTATCATAATATCTTATTTTTATGATTATCGTATATAGGAGAATTTTATGTGAGAAATTAAAAATTAAAATTGTGCCTCCAATTATTTTTAAATATGAATAAATAGAAATATTACACATTCGCGTGCAATTTTTATTCATATAAATTTTATAACGTAAGTGTAATCAAAATTTTATTCACATGTAGATATATTTGTGAGTCATTTCAACGGGCGATTCTTGTAATGTATTAAGGTAATGGAACGTTACAGCGCGACGAAAAGTATAGAACTGTCCCTGGTAGAACCGCAAATCCCACAGGGAGTTCCAGACGCTATCGCGGGGGTATCCCATACACTCATACACGCAATGATATAACGCCGCAGTCGGCTTTACGAGCTTCTGCTTGATATTAAGTGCCTTATGAATACGAGCACACTACAAAGCACCGTCTGCGTGCGTGTAGCTTTACGAATTAATATGATCGATGCCCGCAGATAAGCGAGGTTAAAGGGGATATGACCGTCTTCTTCTGCTAAAGACTAAAAACACTCAGAATAATCTATCCTTGACGCCTAAAATAAAGAAGCACACAAGAGAAATAGATGCAGCTCGTTTAGATATTTATCGATATCTTTAATTTCAAAGAGATAAATCTAGATAATCTTTTTATTCATTACAAAAACATAAATTATATAAAATATTATCATTTAACATATTTATATATGTATATAAATTCTTTATATATGTGTGTTTAGAGTTATATTTAAATATTTAATGCTAAAAAGGCTAATTTAAATATTGTTTCTTTTATAGATAATTCATAATTAAAAAATAAAATATATATTTTTCATAAAAATCTACAAACTCGAATTGTTATTCTACGTAAACGATTGAGAACTGGACGTTTATTGTTTTAAAATATTGCAGCTTGCATTCTCTCTCTCCCACACATACACATACACACAAATGGATTTTATTTTAATAAAAATTTTAATTAAAAAAAAGAGATTTTTAAGGAGAATCAATCTTAATAGCGCTAAAATATCTGGTGCCGATTGAAATAACTACAAAAATAATATGTCATAAAACCTTCCTAAAAAAAATTAATTACCATTTCATGGAAAAATTTATATTACGATAAGCACATAATACGTATTAATTAAAGTAACAATAACTATTTTCATATGTATATAAAAAATATCGTTATAATCACAAAAATATTCGATTCACCTCGATACTGAATAAACTTGATGTCAACACAGTTATTGACTATCCCGATACTGCTATTCTCTAAAATCGCTTGTCTATTCGATATCGCGTAATTGAATATCTCTAATATCCTGTCCAGAGCACGATTTCGGCGCACCAAATTTGACCCGCGCAATATTGTCGAAACTCGCTTCCGAAACTCGCCGTTACATCTGAATCCCCGTGGATTCCAATATCCGCGGTTCCATTATTCTTCGCCGTTGAAACATGGACTAAAATTGTTCCCCGAATGACGTTCTGCAGGAAAAGCTAATCCAGCATCATGGTCGCGAAATGTAACCCAGTGCAAATATATATGCGCAAAATAATCGTGTAAAGTAAAACAACTGAAGCTCTCGAATAAATTTCTAAAAATTCAAAAATGCATCAAAAATAAAAAAAAAACATGTTATAATATATTTTCTTCAAAAACGTACGTACAACAACAATGTACGTATATTTAGGATGTTAAATAAAATGTAATAGAATAATTAAATTCACAAATATTATTTTAATTAAAGTAATATATACTTGCGATATACTATTTTATAAAATATTATTCTATAGTTGAAATATTTATGTTGCGTTAAAAAAAAAATATAATTCAATAAATCTCATAAACCTCTGCTAAATGTATATATCATATTAATATATAAATTTGACTTTTTCAGATATGAATTTATAATAACGTTAATGAAAATGATATACGTTCACGAACAAACCTTTTGACAAAATATGACCTGACTTTTCGTGAGTAATAATCGATTAATTACTCGCGCAAATTTCATTTAAATTATTCCAGACCAAGTCCATTATAATCGCCACACGTATGACACAACTATAATTGACTTCGGAATAGAATAGCTCGATGTTCGCGATTGTGAAATATCCAGCAGTGCAGAATGAAACTTTGTTATTCAATATAGCGAGATGCTTCATCGATTATATTACCAAATAAAAAATCGCCTTCGACAGCAAAATAAATACGAGTATTACACGTTCATTAAATTAAAAACACAAAAGACACTTTTTAAAAATAATATAATAAAAAATATTTTTTTGTCATCAAAAAACATGAGAAATGCAAATCGATAAAAAATTTATTTATTTATACTATTTTTATTCTCTAAATTTTTTGATATTTTTCTAAATGATGAATGGCTTATCTGATTTTTCGTGAATAATAATTAATCAATTATACTCGCGTAAAAATAGTTAAACTGAATATTTCATCGGGTGACATAGTCGTCAAAAGACATTTTAGCTCCCGCTTTGCGGGAGTTTCAATCAATATAAATAACTGGATAATATCACTCACCACTTTGTCGTCCGCGTAGATGATCGATGATCTCGGTGCTCCGTTGACGAGCACAGCAAGAAGGGCAGCGATGAGGACGTGACGCATCATCTTCGCAACAGAGCGCATCTGTCCAGCTTTTCCCCAAGATGAAGATGCAATACCACTCGCGATAAAACACTCGCGAGATATCGTTCCGATGTTCTTCACGACCGAGAGTTTCACGCGAAATTGTAAACTCGATAACGATTAAAAGAAACGAAGGCACTGTCACTGTCAAAGTTGAATATACCGACGAGATCACACACCGTGAGTAATAATGACACTTCGACTCCCTTTGGAATATTCAAGTAGCAAAGATGAAGATTCCACCGACAATTTGGGATCTCTTCGGAATAATCAAAGTGCGCGCGAAGTAGAACAGATCGAGATTCCACCGGCTGGTCTCTCGAGTCTCTTCAGGATCTTCTAACCACGAAACACGACGCAGTGGGAATGAAGATTCCACCCGGATGAGTGATTCGGAGAATCCGTTCAGGACGATCAAAGCATGGGATAGCCAAAACAGGAATTCCACTGAATAATTCCTTCAATCGTTAGATAATCCTCGGATAATCTCCTCGAGTTATTCGCAAAATGCGAAGTATTCAAAATATAAATACCCGCGTCGGCCTCTTCAAGATTCTCTCAAAAGATACAAAATATATAAAAAAAAAAAAAAAAGAAGAGCCATCAAGTAATCTTTCAATTCAGTATTCGCGAAAATAATTCGCGAGTAAGAAAACGTCACTATAATTGGTGTTTCTCGATCGAGATTAGCGTCTACCGCATGCCGCCAATGAATGAATGAATTGGCGATCACTCTCTGTGACACATTCACGTGGTCGGACGTTGTCTACGTCGTCTACGTCTCCAGAGGCAAACTGAGATTTTTCTCCTTCACCGATCGTTTCTCCCACCGATGAGTGTGCTCCTCCTGCTTCCTTTTTTTCCCACTTCTTCTTCGCTCCTCTTCTTCGTTCGCCTCGATCGACCGCAACGACGGTGATTAACTGATGCTCCGTGTCGTTGCACACTTACTTGCTCCGTGTCGTTGCTCACTTACTTGCTCCGCGCTTCTTCCTTTCCCTTTTCCTTTTCGTGAATCGACCGACTTTTGTCAACTCACTTGTCCTGCGCCGCCCGCGGCGATGATGACGACGGCGATGATTACCGGCTTCTTCGTACTTTCCTCCGGATTCGGGCTTTCCAGCGGCTGGCACGTCCATCCGCCGACCTGTGTGATGTGATATTCGCCCGTTAAAAAAAAACCACACATACATCGAAACTTATTATGTTATTGTAAGAATCAATATGATACATAAGTGATTTATTTTTTAATTCTTTTACCAAATATTCGTAAAATATTCATATTCTAATACCAGTTCAAAATTTTATACGGAGAAATGTGGTCTGTTTTTAATTTAAACCGTATTTTTCAGATAAGACTTTATGAAAGCTGTGCAAACGTTAGTTTTTATATACGTTAGTTTATCACGTTAAACCACGCTTGGTGATTATATTTGAAATTAAAGTTTTACTACATCCGTAATTAAAATCTGGTTTAATTAAAAAATAAGCCGGTGGTAAAATCATAAAACATGCAGAACATCGAATACTTATAGATTCATTATCATTATTGTGGGATAAGGGAGGAAGAGCGAGAAAAAGAATATTGGTTTGATATCGCAGTCGAAAGACCACAAATCGAGATTTATCCTCAACAGAAACTGTCTAAGTGGAAGGGACAAAAAGTATGCAAACTTCATCAGGCCCTTTAGTTCCAAGTACGGTTTCAGAAGAACCATTCGACGACTCGCGCGAAACAGTGCTCTTTTGTATTCGGCACGATAAACGACTGCCGGGCTTAATGGCTCCGAAGAGCCCGGATTTCTCGTCACCTTTGAGAAATATGGGAGGCAGCAGAATGTGAAGGAGAGGGAACTAAGTTGAATTTCAACCGTAGTCGAGAGGGAATCGTTCGAGAAAGAATGTCATGAATTTTTATGGATCACCGTATATCGGATGCATGTGATACATGTACGAAAAATAATCGATGCGTAAAGTACAAACCAGCACGTTGAAAGTGTTCCAAAAAGCTTGTTTAAATCATAAATAAAAAAAAAATATATATATATTTTTGTTAAACTAACGATAAAAGAAATATAAGTACAATATATCACAAATATCTCTTAATTTAAGAATATGTTACATCTATACCAATTTTTTATACTGGCGATAGTTTTATTAAGACGATTAATATTAAAAGTCAGAAAATTATAAAAAATCTACTAAAATTCAATCAATCATATTAAATCTATTGAATAATTTTGAATCTATGATATAATCCAAAAAAAGTAACGAAACACGCACACAGTATGTTATATGTATCAGTAAAAGGAGAAGAAGAAAAGTTTGCTTCTACTTTATTATTGAGGAAACACGCACGCACGTGTTTTCGAAATTGACGTAGAACTTCAGAACCCTTATATCGTATTCAAAGATAAACTGAACAAGTCCTCGAGAGAATATTAAACATACGGTCGGAAGTAGATAATAGAATTCAGGAAAACATAATTAAATCTTGTCTCACGCCGGATAAAGTCGCGCGTCTGATGAGAATTTTATTCGGTCCATTTTGTCTTACTGGCTTTTAAAGCAGAAATAAAAATGTTAGCGATTAAATCAGAGATAAAAATTTCAGCAAATCTGGTTAATTCACTTATATTTCCTAGTTACTTCTTAATTAAAAAAAAAAAATAGTAAAATCAATATATGTAGAAAAATATATATATGTAAAATATTATGTAATACTAAATTTCTAGAAATATTAAAAAAAAACATTGCATTGTGTCATCTTACAATTTTTATCGACTCCTTAAACTTGATATGTACAATATCTAATTTAAGTAATAATAATATATATAATTTTTAAAAACTGAACAAGTCCTCGAGAGAATATTAAACATACGGTCGGAAGTAGATAATAGAATTCAGGAAAACATAATTAAATCTTGTCTCACGCCGGATAAAGTCGCGCGTCTGATGAGAATTTTATTCGGTCCATTTTGTCTTACTGGCTTTTAAAGCAGAAATAAAAATGTTAGCGATTAAATCAGAGATAAAAATTTCAGCAAATCTGGTTAATTCACTTATATTTCCTAGTTACTTCTTAATTAAAAAAAAAAAATAGTAAAATCAATATATGTAGAAAAATATATATATGTAAAATATTATGTAATACTAAATTTCTAGAAATATTAAAAAAAAACATTGCATTGTGTCATCTTACAATTTTTATCGACTCCTTAAACTTGATATGTACAATATCTAATTTAAGTAATAATAATATATATAATTTTTAAATTTAATATATAAAATGTATATATATAGTACTTTTTTATATTAAATTATTTTAAACATATATTAATATTAAATATACTAAAATAAATGTAAAATTATTTCGATTGTGTTGGAATGTATAATGCTTTATGTTCCTTATTCGTATAATGAATCGTGTAATAAATAGATCGTTAACGTATTAAACCGCGAAGGTTCACAATTTTACAAAAGACATGAAAATGAGAAGGCCACTGCCGATCGATCGATTGATTGAAAAAGATCGGAATCGAAGCGGAACGATTGTCATCATCCGATGGTTGGAAAAATGACGGGAACGGGGACATGAGATAATGGGAAGCCGACCGGAAACCGGAAGGAGATCAACATGCGGGGCCGAAAGAACGAGAGGATCGTTATCGCCGGGGAACGTGCCAACGCGAACGGGCTGACCTCGTTTCATCGTCTCGTGTCTCGATAATCACCGGCATTCTTTGCCGCATGGTTGCCTGTCCGCCTGCGACATGCTCGGCGTTTTCATCTCGTGTCCTTAACAACGATTTTTCCCATCCTCGCGAATCGATCTCTCGACAGAATAAACGAGTTCTAATCAAATTTCAATTTTGGATATAATCACGATCACGGAAAAAACTTTTTTTCTTCTTTATTTTAAAAATAGTACAAAGATAAAATTCGAAAATTTCTATTCTTTCCGTTAAGAAGAAATTGATTCAAACTTGGCCAAAAATTTTATAGATAAAAAATGCAAAAAATTGAGAAACTAGCTTATAAAAATGTAATATTTCCCTTTAATTAGAAGACTGACGACAATTTCAGTTGAATGAATTTTCCAAAGGCACTATACAGAAAAAAGTACAGGTGGAGCAATCGAGTGGACTGCGCAATCTCACTATCAGGGCATTGACATGCGAATCTTTCTTTCTTTTCGCAGTAAACACAACAGATAAAAGGCCGCGCGGATTCAAGGAGAAAGAATCGGTCGAAGACCCTAAAGAGATAGCAATACTTTTGTTTGAGTAGCCTTTCAATCGCCTTTAAATCTATATTCGCGCTTTAATATTGTCATGTCACGCAAAATCCCACAAATCGTCATGAGACAATGTTGAAAAAGCTTCGATTTTACACAGAAAAAGAAAGACCTATATCGTTTAAAAATACTTTAAGTAGCAAAAAGATTATATTTACATAAAATATTGTATAAAAAAAATAAAATAAAAATTTAATGTGTAGAATTAAAAATAGTAATAAATATATAT